CTCGCCAGCGCCGGGGCTCCCGGCCTGGACCCCCACTGGGGTCGCGTGGGCTGACTGCGGAGCGGGCTTGGCCTGGCCCAGGTGCTGCTGCCCCACGCCTGCCCCCAGCGCAGCCGTTTTAGGAAATGCTTGGGAGGATCCATTTGGTGACAGCTGCTATCAACAGTTTCACATTATATTGTGGTGTAAATTTGTCAGTGTAGGGGAAGAGGGCTGCCAACGAGGCTAATAGTTGGGAGAGTGTTGGGCAAGGGCAAGCTGTAATGGTATAACCTGAAGAACGTCTGAAACGAGTGATTCCAGTGTGAGCCTTGGAGTCAATACCTCGCGTTCTCTGTGGTTTGTCTGGCAGCGGTCTGACGAAAGGCGCATTCTGGATTACCTCAATCTGCTGCTTTACCACAGGCAATATATGGGCTGTTTGATATGAGATGAGAAATGGGTTTAGAAAACTTGGAGGGGGGGAGGCAGAAAAAAAACAAACAAAAAACCCCCCCACAAAAGAAACAACCAAAAAACGACCAAAGAAAACCCCAAACTCAAAAACCCACTAAACTTAGCCATTGTTTGGTTTACAGAATTCCTCCTATGCAGTATGGGATTGTCCAGAGGGCTATTACTTGATTTTTATGGTCTTGGGTTTTCAGATTATTCAAGTTATTTAGCTGATGTGTAATGTGCAATGTCCACACAAGAAAGACTTCTCTTTACAGGAAAGAATAAATGAAAATAGTTGCACTCAATTTATTTGCCAAAAAATTTTATGTGAGTTTTCAAAACTGCTGATTTCTGCTGCTTTCTATGACTATGTCGAGTTTCACCATGGATATTACGTGTTAAAAAATTTGTTGAATTTGCTATTGAAACAACTGCTGATATTTTGAAACTCACACTGCGCTCGCTAACTTTGCTTTAACAGAAAGCAAATGAAGATGTGGTTCATGGTGTGTTTCTGTTTGACAGACTTTTTTCCCTTCAATACTTGCATTTTAAAATTTCAAATCACTCTGTGAAGTTTGTTCTTTGTTAGGCAGGACTTTTTACAGACTGGGAAATAAAAGTATGTCGGTTAGCTGCCTCCCCAAGGTCACGTGAGGCCAAAACTTGCTGTGTTACTCTAATGCGATGAGAACAGAACTGGGCACAAAATATCTATGTGGAACTTGAATCTCTTGCTTCCTCTTCTGGTGCTTTTAATTACAAAACCATGAAAGCTTATTCCGAAGACCTCCATCAAATTAATTAACCCTTAATATGCATGCAGCTCTATAGGAAAAAATGTTTTGCCTTGAAGATAAATTTTCTGTGAATCATGGTACATATAACTTTGGGGTTTATCTGTATGGATGGAAAAAATAGGTTTTGTAAATGTGAAATATAATATTGGTAGCACAAATGCTGAGGGGTATTTTTCTTCTGTGTTTTTGCAGGTAAACGACCTCTGCTGGCATGTGCGCTGCCTGTCGTGCAGTGTGTGCAGGACGTCTCTAGGAAGGCATACCAGCTGTTACATCAAAGACAAAGATATCTTCTGCAAACTCGATTATTTCAGGTATGTCATACAGAAATATCATGTTATTAGATAACATGTTACACTTGCGTGTTACTTTTCACTTAAGCCGCAACTAAAATGCACGTTGAGGCTCTTTGTTTTTTATTTGCTAGGTTTATTTCGGTAGTTAAACTCTGACGTTTCTCACGGAGGGAATTGGGAACCCGCAAGTCTGTCTAATGTGACTGCCTACTAACCTCCTCCTCTGCCCCTCCGTTGTTCTGCGTAGCTGCTGCATTTATAGAGTAATTTACTTTTGTACGCACGGGGCGGGGGGGCGGGAAGTCGGGGTTCCTGCCACAGTAAGGTTGTAAAGCTATTGTATGTGCAAAGAATCATCCTTGGGTAGTGTCGACTGAGAATACAAGGTGGAGTTGAGGTGGTGTTCTGCTTGGCCTAGCACTTCACTGGTATGAGACTTCAGGTACGGCACGGAACTACACAAACAACCCAGAATAAATCACATGGTCTTTAAAAGAAGCTTTCGGCAGTTACACCTCTCTGTGATCAGTTTGATTTAGAACATGAAGTATTCTTCAAGGTTAGGGTCTGATCCTGGAAGGAAGGATCTTTTTTTATTTGTGTTGGCATTGGAAGTCCTCATGGTACAACAATTTTGGTCCAGAAAGTAGCAAAAATTTTTGCTGTTAATTTTGGTGTGATTGCTGGAACTTCCTCAGGCCAAACTATTTAGGTGATTCTCACCTGTGTAGCAAATGCATTTTGTTCAGCTAGTCAGTTTTGATACTGAAAGAGAGGGAGGGGGCAGGCTGAATACTGTTAAGTTCTGGAAAAGTAAAGTTTTGTGGGACTTAAAGGAAAAAAAACAACAAAAAAACTCCAAAACATTGTGGGACTTAAAGAAAAAAAAACAACAAAAAACCCAAAAACCCCCCCCCACCCCCCCAAAAAAAACCCAAACCAAAAAACAGAAAAACCAAACCACACAAAAAACCCAAACTTATGAGTCTGTGAAGAGTTTCAGGACAAATTCTTATCTAAATCAACATATCTTGGTGGCTAGCTTCCTCTTCAAAGAGAAATATTCTACTGTAGTAATGTAAACACTTGCAGATATTTGAATTTCTTTTTAAATCATAATGTGATGGTAATTAAGGAAATAACTATCAAGAGACAGGTTTTCCCCCTTCTGCTGAAGGGGACTGAATGATCAGTGAAGGATGATGTAGCTAAATATAAGAATTCAGACTGGGACTAGAGTAATGTGAAATATATTTGAATAATTGGGAGAATTTTGAACATAAAGTCAGCTGTTTCCATCTCCCCCTCACAGCTTTTTAAAGAGTATAATTATCTTTATCAAAGGAAAGATGAAGAGTTGTGAATTCATGTAGCAGTTAAGATGTTTCAGTTCTACTCTTTGGCTTATGAAATTATTAACTTCTGTAGTTCAGAAGTGATCTTGCCTTAAGCTACCAGATACAAACTCACTGATTTTTTTGCGATAAGAACACAATTAAGCTGTCCGCTGGTCCCTTGTGGTGAGCCTGCTTGCTGTGGGTCTCAGCTGCGCTGCCACGTCCCCGTCGCCTCTAACGCTCCCGGAGTCACCCTTTGGGCCGGGACGGTCGGTGTCTGTGCCTTCACCCTCCTGTTGCCTTTGTTGTTGCAGGCGGTACGGCACCCGCTGCTCCCGCTGCGGGAGACACATCCATTCCACTGACTGGGTCCGAAGGGCTAAGGGAAACGTATACCACTTGGCGTGCTTTGCCTGCTTCTCCTGCAAAAGGCAGCTCTCTACTGGAGAGGAGTTTGCTTTGGTTGAAGAGAAAGTCCTTTGTAGAGTACATTATGACTGCATGTTGGACAATCTGAAAAGAGAAGTTGAAAACGGTAACATACTGCTTTTGTTCAGAACTATGTTTTGTGGTTTTGTTTTAATTGTTGGGTTTTACTTCATCTTCCGTATTAAGAGGTAATTACCTAGCTTTACGAAGGCTGGAAGCTCAGGTTCTTGAGTTAAAATAATGTGCAAATTATTTGATGTTTTAATCTTTCTTAAGTTTGTATAACTTTTCTATCCTAAGGAAAGGAAAGCAAGAGCACATCTAGTTGATAAAATATCATGCTAGATCTGTTCCTTCCCTCACTTGCAAGGGAGTCATTTGGGGTGTAATGGGTAATAGTGCCAGATCAATTTAACTTTGAACAGAATATGGCTTTTTTAAAGCTGAAATTCAGCTGACCAAGTACTGCTGCTTATTGTTGGAGGACAGTCTGACTTATGAATAACATCGTTTTGAATGTCTGGCAGATGGTTTTCTTTTCTTTTTAATGCTTCAGGTAATGGGATTAGCGTGGAAGGAGCACTACTGACAGAACAAGACGTTAATCATCCAAAACCAGCAAAAAGAGCTCGGACCAGCTTCACAGCAGATCAACTCCAGGTAGGGACAGTGCTAAAAACTTGCATAGTTCAGGTTTATGCAGAACATAGGTGCTGATATAGGAAATCGGATGCATATGGGGGGAAAGAAAAAGCTTGCATGCTTTAAACTATTTCATAAACTATCAAGACACAACATGTTTCTGGAGTTGTTTGTTAGCTTCAGCAGTTTAATATGAAATAGTTACTATTCAGGCTTTTTATTTCCCTGGGGGCAGCCAGTAATTCTGTGGAGTGGAAACAAAAAGGTTGTTCTATTTTGATTGCTCGATGAAATCTGTTTAATCAGGCATTTACATCACTACATGTAATAAGGACAAAATATTTTTAGAATTATGTAATGTGAAGAGTTGTACTAAAGATAGGTACTGTATATGACTTCAAGACATTAAGAGGATGGGAGTTTGAATTTTTTTGCAATGCCTGCATCTGCTCTGCTTTCAAGGCGTCTTGTCTTGTTGCTGCCTTGGCAAGGGTTCGTGCTGGACTGCCTCAAAGATGAGTTGTTTCACCCTCTGGATCACCACTTCACTTAAATTAGCTTTCTAGGGAAAAACACCATGGCTAGGGCCAGCTCGCCATGAAAAGGGGTAGTGTTGAGACCAGGTTTAGAGGTTTCAACCCGTAGTGGGAAGGAAGCTGTGGCTCTCTACCTGATCCTAGCTACGCATCCTTGCTTTCAGCTTATAACAGGTCTTTGAATTTCTGGTCACACATGGCCACCACACCAGTTTTCTACTGTCTCAATCTGAGTTCTGTTTTATTGGCCTGTCCTTCTTGCTCGTGGTGAAAGCAGTTGAGAAAAACTAAAGTTGAGGTCTAATAACACGTGAGGCATTCTAAGCAGTACTATATAACATGTCATCTGGCTGTGCAAAGCTCAGTTTGCTATTTGAGCCATGACTGGAGACAGAATGTGGTGTTAATACAAAACAAGCGTGTCGGCAATAATCTGACAAGGGCACAGAGCAAGGGCTCTGGACATCAAGCTTGAACTTCTGCAAAAGGGAACTGTCTTTTCCAGCGGTAGCTGAACAGGAGAGGGGCCCAGCCGTCAGGGTAGGAGCTGTATTCAGGGCTTCTTTCCATTTGCTGTTGTTGAAACTTCCATGCTCTGCTTTTTTCCTGTCTTATATAGATTGTAACATACTTCAGCAGGTATTTGAGATCTTAGGGCCTCTTGTTTATTTAGCAACACTTGCCATCTGCTCGGTGTGTCTGTCTCTGTACCTGTCCTTGATGCTGCTGTAAGATTTTGCTTCTGGCAAGGGAAGCATCAGAGGGATATGCGACTGTCGGAGTGGCAGCATGTAGTAACAAACCTTGTGAAGTTCTTGTACAAAAGGATGTCCACGCTTTTTGATGTCTTTGTATGAAACAGTAGGAAAGTAAATTGTTTCAGCGTTTCTGAATGTGGAGAGAAGTAGTCTGAATCTTCAAAGATGAAGCCAGGCAAAACTTGCAGACCATCATAGGTCAAAATCCAGAAATGAGAAACTACAGTTTACTAAGTTGCTGAAGATACCCTGCAGAAATCCATGAAGCCTTACTTCCTTAAATAAGGTAAACTCTTACAGGCTCTAAAACTGTTCAGGATGCACGCCAAATTGACATCTGCTTCCTCAGAAAAAAATGCAATACATATCCTAATGACAAGCGTTCACTTCGATTTTCTGTAAAAAGATGAGTGTACCAAGCAATTACCTAGTGCAGGTCAGCCGAGGTGGAGGCTCTGCGTTCTTCAGGTCGGTTCAAGGTAAGCAAGGCACAAAGTGCTTCCCAGTTGCCTGCATTCTCCATGCAGCTGAAAAGAGGGTTAAGTTCCTCCATCTAATAAAAGATACAGATAGAGACTGACAAGTTCAGAGAGGTGGATCACAGTCCATCCCTTCCTTATGCTCTGCGCTGTGGTCTGAGGCTATAGATGTTTTCTTTATCAAGCGTGTTTGAATTGCTTTGCAGTGAATTTTCTCCCACAGTCCTTGTAACACAATCATAATGGAGCACCTCGTGTTTTGTTTTGTTTTTTTTCACTACTGCCAAACAGAAATCATTTCTTTCATTTCTGGTAAACGTCTCAGCTTGGTTAAGCATAATAAGGGGTTTGTATTTTGGCTTTGGGGGACTCCCTGTTCCGCCCCCGCCCGTTAATGTATTGGGAACTGTCTGGGGAGTAGTGACTACAACTGTTTCCTAAAAAACAGGCAAGGAAGGAGCAGGACCACAGTCTGAGAGGAGTCTCTAATGCTGCTCTCAGGACTGCACACAAAAAACTGCAGGCTCTTATCTCACCCGTTCAGGTTATGCAAGCACAGTTTGCTCAGGACAACAACCCCGATGCACAAACGCTCCAGAAACTGGCAGAAAGAACAGGCTTGAGCAGGCGTGTTATACAGGTAACTGCGCTAAGTTTTATTTGACTAACAAAGTCTGGTACTCATCCACTGGAAATGCTTAATGTCAGTTTTCTCCATGTAGTTATTCTGAAATGGAAATAGGTCTAATCTGACAGTTTTAACATAACTTCAGACAGCATCCTTACTCAGCAACAGGTATCGAACAAACGTGTTAATTTGGAAAACTTGCTATGTTCCTCTTGTACTTTGTGTGGAGGATTAATAATTTTCCAGGAAGAAACTTCCTAGCCTAAATAGCATAGAAATTGGCACGAAGCTCTTCTAAGTACAAATATCTGACTTTAATAGTCTGTTCTTAAGACCTGCGTTCTTTTTGAAAACGGCTTGTGGTATGACACACTAGGAGCAAGTGAATAGCTAGTGGTCTGTTCTAGAGGGCCGAGTTAAAATAGGTACCCATGCCATCCAAAACTGAGAGAAACGCAAACTTGGAATCTTTGCTTGAAGGTACCTCTCAGCAAAATTATATACATTCTCTTTTATACATAAATATGATTTTTTTAAATATAAATAATGTATTTTTAAGTTTAAA